CGGCGGTGTCGCCTGAGGGAGGAGCGGCTGCGGGGAGGGGTCGCCTCTGCGTCGCCTGACCCTGCTCGCGCCCAGCGCGGGGGGTAGCCTGACTGACCGGCTCTTGCAGGAAAGCGGTGACGGCCGGCCTCGGGCATGGCTTTGGGCGAGATGGATGGAGCGGGGTCGGAGCCGGAGGATGGCAGGAATCAGGAGCCAGGTATCGTCACCACAAGAAATATCCTGGAGAGTTTCACAGAGAGCCAGGAAGTCCGGGGGCTCATCGGTAACCTGAAGGAAATCTTTGGGGATCTGGTGACTCGAGAAATGACCGTGGAAAAATTCATAGGTAAGCACACCATCCTAATGGACCATATTCTTACATTGCTTAAAGGAATTTTTTACCAAAAAAGGACTAAAACGTTAATTTTGGATTAGTGATAATACTGAAGCTTTATCAACAGGTAGTTCAGGTTTATTTTTTTCACTTCATTTTCCAGATGTGTGTTCCATTATTATGTGGTACTTAACTACTGTAAATAAAAACCCACATCTTGGGTTTAAGAAATCTGAATTCTGACCCAGGTGTAGCCTCCAGTTTCCTAGTCAAATGCAGGCAATAATTTTGCTAAAGTTTGTCAAATAAAGCCATTTTTCGACCTAATTACTTGTTAAAAATGCATACATTTTGAGCTTTAAAGTGGTAATTTAATGTTTTTGCTTTTCTGTTTCATAGGAAATATGAAGGGCAGCTGACTCTATACAGATCATGTAATTCTTTCTGAGTGGAGGCAGCTTGGATCTGACTTAGTAGCTGAGCTTTTGTGCCATATAATGAAAGCTATTCTGCTTCTAGACCTCAGCTGAATATAGAAGTGGTATAATTATGTGCATGTAGCAGTGTCCTAGGTAACTAGCCTGTTATAATGCACATCTGTGTATTGGAGCCAATATTCTGACCAGATGGTTTGAAAAAGTTAATTCGAAGTTTCGTGTATTTATGAATGAAGTGGACTAACATTTTGCTAGTACTTTTGCAGAAATGGTGAAATTGCAAATACTTACAGTAAAAATATTGATCCAGTGTCTTTGACAAAAAGAAACTAGGTAGGCAAACAATAAACCAGAAAGCCCAAAATTTGGAAATCTGACCCTGCAGAAGTTACTCAGCAGAATTATGCTCAATTTGACTCTACTGACTGTTCCATCTGAGGAGGTTAATGCGGAACATGTTCAGAAAGAAGTAGCAAGAGCACTCATATTTGTGGTGATTAGTATCACAGGTGAAATGGCAGAATTTGATGGGATAGAAAAGCAATTACTGAAAAAATCTCAGTGGCTGAAAGGCCATTGTCTTCTCCAACTGATCATCTTGCTATGCTTGTCTTTCATAGTGTCTCTGTGTATTTAAATTGTATTTATGAAATTCCTGCATGCATCTCCACTCTATCACGTAAGTTCTTATGAGAAAAATTGCTTTGCTGCCCATTGAAACCTGTGACTTGCAATTCTTGGGACCAGGTCCTTTGAAGGTGGGGGGAATATTGCTGTATGATAAGTATCAGAAGAGCATATAATTTCCCAGTAAATACAGTGTTAATATACTTAAAACTGATAGGCACTGTACATCTTGTTTAATATTTGGTTATAATATTTAGTGTCATAAGGTATCTTTTAATCTTTCTTGGGCAAAATGTCCCAAATATGGTAATAGGCTAAATGTGTGGGATACAACGTTGAAGCTTAGGGAATACCTTTACTCTGTATGCAGATAACGCAGTAATCGGCACTTACAGAGGATTTTAATGCCGATCTCGAAGCATTCACAAAAACATGTGATGCTCATTTTTTGGTCAACTGTTAGAAGCAGAAGTTTGGAAGATAGCTTAATCTGCGACTATAATTTTGGAGGAAAATTTAGGAAGATTTTTTTGGAAATAATAGCATTAGAAGAACTTTTTTTCAGTTCGTTCTCTTCAGCATTTAGATTTTGGGTTTTATTTTAGAGTGTCAGACTGTGATCTGGGAAAACAATTTGGCAAGATGAGGAATTTGCTGTTAAATTCCACTTCTGCTTGAGAGCTATTGCTTTGGGTGTTGATGGAATTTCTTGTATTCACTAGTTCTGTTATTTGTACATGGCTTAAGGAATCATTATTTACAATGGGAGGTTAGTGATGATTAGGAGCTCAGGCTTCCCTCTTGATAGGAGACAGCACTATGGTATCCCAATGGAATTGCACAAGTTAGTGCAAGGATGCTGTCTGACTGGCTAGTATCTTGGAAGTGGTTGTGCAGTGTCATCCACTGGTCAACTACAGCACTGTTGAAGTTGAGTTATGTCTTAAATCTAAGAGTTGATGTGACAAGCAGAGAAAAGGGATGGAGTGCAAAACTGAAAAACAAGCAAATGCAGGAGAAAGAGAGGTTAAGAAAGTATTTTAGTTTTCTGATTAAAAAGCTATTTTCTGACCGAATACCTAAAATGGAATCATAGAATAGTTTGGGTTGGAAGGGACCTTTAAAGGCCATCTAGTCCAACCCCCTGCCATGAGAAGGGACACCTTCAACAAGAGCAGGTTGCTCAGAGCCCTGTCTAACCTGACCTGGAAAGTTTCTGGGGATGAGGCATCTACCACCGCTCTGGGCAACCTGGGCCAGTGCTTCACCACCCTCATGGTGAAAAGTTTCTTCCTTATATCTAGTTTAAATCTACCCTCTTTTAGTTTAAAACCTTTACCCATTGTCCTATCGCTACAGGCCCTGCTAAACAGTCTGTCCCCATCTTTCTTTTATCAGCCCCCTTTAAGTCCTGGCAGGCTGCAATAAGGTCTTCCCAGAGCCTTCTCTTCTCCAGGCTGAACACCGCCAGCTCTCCTAGCCTGTCCTCCCAGCAGAGCTGTTCCATCCCGCTGAGCATTTTTGTGGCCTCCTCTGGACCCACTCTAATAGGTCTATGTCTCTCCTGTGCTGAGGGCTCAAGAGCTGGAAGGACCCAGGCAGTCCCCAGCGCAATACTGGATCACTTGATCATCTCTTCTGAAATCCAACGTTAATTTCTGTAGCTGCTTTTTATTGACTCTAGGTTTAAATTGAAATGCTTTTGTTTCTAAAAACTGTGGCAAGTTGTTCTTAGTTTTTTTTCAATATTTAATTTCAATTTGTCTTTCCTCAAGTCAGTTCCTGAAAGGAAGGTAACGTATTAGGCAGCAAGATTAAGTAGTGTGAAATTTTGGAGGAGCGCAGGTAGTAATAGCTACAGTTTGTATTTGTCCAGGTTAAAATTTGTCAAGGATTCTTTGTTCTTTAGTAAAGAACATAGTTTTCTGTGTTCTATCTCAAAATAAAAAAACCTAGCTCTGAGAATTGTGACGAGCACCTTCGCTTGCAAAGTAGTACTATGTTGGGTTTTTTTCTGCTATAGTAGGGTAGCTCAAAAGAAAGAGATGAGAATTTTGCAATGCCTATACCATGTTTCAGTAGAGATCCTCAGTGGTGGAACTATGTCTTTAAGTATGTTCCAGGCATGGCAAGGAAGATAGCCTTGTGGTGAAACCCAGTGTGTCCAGGGAGAATTTCCCCATGGCTGTAATTAGCCTCAGGGTTGGAAAAGTGTCATGCTATTACAATTCTTGATGTTGAGATATCTCTTTGTGTGTGTATTTTAAAGACAATCAGTAATTTGACATGCTGACAAACAGAACAGTATGTAAAAAGTAAGGGGGATTCCATTTGTTAATGAAGAAGATGTGAACAAGAAGGCAGAAAGGTGTAAAGCAGCATCCTGGTTGTTGTGCGAGTAGGAGTGCAGCGTAAAGCTGGTACACCTGCAGCTGCAGACTGTAGTGGCTTCGTGTCCTCTGTTTGCAGAGTTCCATCAGAAGTGGTGTGCTGGTAAGTTGTGCTTAGGAAAGGAGAACCACAAAGAGCTCTGCAGTGAAGGACAGCAACAATCTCAATGATTGCTTGTTTCATCCATCTGTGGGGTTTGTCCACAGTAGTTTGAGAGACTCCTGGAAGGGAGTTCATGATTCAGTGCAGGTAAATGATTGCGCTACAGAAGTGGACAGCCTGTATTCTTATAGTCACTTCTGTGTAGTTTTCTTCCTTTTTGACATCACTTACAGGTGGTAGCAGCACTTAGCTCAAGGATACTGGAATCTTAAGCTAAAGCAGTCTAGAATCAGGGATGTATCTCACAATTAATGCTTGTAAGGGCTTTTAATTTGAATAGCTTATTACAGGTATCTTTTCCTTTTCAGGTATAATGGACAAATACCAGGAGCAACCTCACTTGTTGGATCGCCACTTAGGTAGGAATGTCATCTTTAAATAGTTTTTTGTGTATATACTTGAAAATCTGTTAAACTAGAAGGTCCATATTTGCATTACAAGATTGCTGTGGTTGATATTACTTATATTATATGACTACTATCTCCCTTTTTATTATTAAAAGCATGAGAAACTGTAAGCTAACTGCATGTAGTCTCACTTTTTTTTTTTCCTCTCCTTTCATTAGAGTGGATGATGAATTCATTGTTGGATATAGTACGGGACAATGGATCTCCTCCCCCATTAGTTCACCTGGCTTTTAAATTTCTTTACATCATTACGAAGGTAAAAAAATGCAAATTAAACATTCTGTAACTGAAACATGTAAGTTTCTAATATTTTCTTTGTTGTTGAAGTTTAAAAAAATTCACATTTTCAAAAATAGTAAAATAAATAAATAATTGTCTAATTGATGCAATGAAATGTTTTAAACTGTACTGTGAAAGATTAGTTCTCCTTTTTTATCATTTTCATGATAGCTTATGTTATTTAATGATCCAGAGTAGTAAAAATCAAGTTCTGAATGCAAAAAAATTGCAGACATTGAGATCCTGAGTGGTAAAACAAGAGTTGGAATGTTAAAAAGAAGAGTAAAGTATGATGAAGAATTAGATGGATTGTGGAATTTCCATCTGAGGGTAAGAAAACATTTTTTTGACTGTGAGGGTTGAACACTGGACTAGATTGCTCAGACAGGTCGTGGCGTCTCCATCCCTGGAGCTCCTGAATACCCTACTGGACGTGGTCCCAGGCAGCCTGCTGCAGGTGAATGTGCTTTAGCAGGAGAGTTGGATTAGATGGTCCACAGAGGTCCCTTGTTTTAAAGTTAAAGAATTATTATTCCATTAATTCTTACTAAGCTTGTGAAAACGCAAAAATCTCAAGGTATTTAAGACCTTAATTCATATCCTTGCTGTTCTTACTGCATAAGGATCATATGCAAGAAGCTTCTTTTCTTTTTCCTCAGTACTTGACAATGCCAGATGGCTTACTAAATTTTGAAACTTTCTGTTTTAGGTGAGAGGGTACAAACTTTTCCTCCCACTGTTTCCTCATGAAGTAGGTGATCTACGGCCTGTTTTGGATATGCTTGTAGACCAGAATCCAAAAGACTCTGAGGTGAGAACTTGCTGTACTTTTTGTTTCACTCTTACGTCTCCAACAGAAAAAGCTGATGAACAATGTAAGGAAAAAAAAATGGAAAAAAGTGTATAAAGTAGTGATACACCCTATCTGGTGTTAACTGAATATCTGGATTTAGTATGAAAGTCATCTTGTCAGAAGAGAAATGTCTTATTGAAGGAGAGGTCTTGTGTTGTTCTTTCATGGGATGTGTTCTAAGGATTTAGAAGCAATGGTGATAGAAGTGCGAGTAAAATCTTTAACCACTTGTATAAGGGAACAAATTAATTGAAACAGTAATAAGAAACGCAGTGAGGGTTATTGAACTTCTAAAAGGAGTAACTGAAAAGTCCTATTCCTGCAATGCATATCATTAATGGTTATGTTAATTTAGCTTGAAGTCATAAAAGTAAAATCACAGGAAACGGAGTATTTGGTTTTTATGTACTTATTCCTATTTCTTAAGGTAAACAGGCTGTTTTTTATACCTTTGGATTTTGTCAAAGTTTGTATGAGAACTTCTATTTTGATGAGGAAATGAAGACAATAGTTAATTTTCCTAGTTTAGTTTCATAAAATGGTTTATTCTATCTTCAGATCTGTGAGGGGTTTTATTTGTTGGTTGGTTGTTTTTTTAACTCCTCTTTTGAAAGGAGGGAGATGAAGGTTGGAGAAAATCGCACAATTATGGCATGAGGCATGAATTGCTTGGATTTTTGCCTTTTGATAATAATTCCTGGGTGTGGAAAAATAACACCGAATTTCACATTTTTTTTTTTGCCTCTTTGCAATTTGAAAACCAGGTGACACCGCTTCATTATGTGTCCTGATTTAGTTTTATTTGGCTGGGAATGTTCTGGGCAAGAATTCTGATTCGAAAAAATATTTAAGCAAAGAATTTTTAAGTGGGGTTTGAGATCATAGAATATGTTGAGTTGGAAGGGACCTGTAAGGATCATTGAGGCTAACTCCAAGATACCATAGTTCATATTCTTGTATTTTTGAATAAGGAAAAATAAGAATTCCAGAAGGCTTATTAAGATAGGTGAATTTTAAGAGAGATCATAATCTATTATAAGTAACAAAAATCATGGATATGAAGACAGTGATTGTACTGCTGCTCTAAATTCAAATAATTTTTTTAATAAATATTGTTGCTTCTGACCACTTTGCTGTTACTATTGATGTAGTTTTACAGATTTAAAGCTTATAAGAGTTCCTTCTTGTCTGTCTGTCTCTTCAAAACACATCTAAAGTTGTTTCAGTAAACCCATGAAAACAATACGTAAGAAATTAGGAAGAAGAACATATTTCTCTCATATTTGTGACTGGAGGGAAGGAGAAAACAGGAAAATTGCAACATGCGGTTTTCCTTTGGGAAGGAAATAAACTGGTCTAGATTTCACATTAAGAGGGGAGGGGCCATTAATTTTGTTACAGTTTTCCTGTTTAGAATCTCTTGTAGTTCTGTCTCCTTTGGTGTTACACAGCATTTGGGTTTGGAGTTTTGTCATCTTTGTCCTACTCTGAAAGTTCCTTGGAGCTAGTGGATAGTTTGTGCTCCAGGCACTTTTTTGGAATATGTTCCAGAAAATGAAGTGCATGTTTTGTTTTACCATTCTCTTCCAGACTTGGGAAACTCGTTATATGCTCTTATTATGGCTCTCCATGATATGCTTGATTCCTTTTGATCTGGCCCGTTTTGATGGAAACATTATTTCTGAGGAAGGGCATGCTCGTATGCCAACAATGGATCGCATACTTAAAATAGCAAAAGTAAGTATAATACATCTATAATACTTTCAAACCTGTGATATTTTTCTTATGCTTAATCTTTCAATATATAATATTATTAATATAATAAATTACTGTCTTTTCAGAATATTATTTAAGCCCATGTTTTCTGCATCTAATCTGTAAAGAATTTCTCTATAGTTTTGTGCTCTTCAGTGTGTTCTTTGTTGCTTTAGTGTCAGATGAGACTGTTACTTATTTTCCCTGAAGTAGTAAACTTATTTTATGACTATGATATGAATGCATGCCTTTGATTATGTTAACAGCTTTTAGCATTTGAAAATACTAGCTAGATTTTATGAAAGCCAAGCTTGATGATTTAGATGGGAAATGAGCATTTGATCAGGATGAGTAACATTGGAAGCTATGACTGCATGAGGAATTTTCAACAAAGATAAAATTTCACTCGGCGTAAGCCGAAGTGGTTAACTTGTCATCCCTTTAAGATAAAAATAAACAACAACCTTCTCCCCACAAATACCTGAACAGCTTGTGCTTTTGTCACTTGCTGCACTTTAAGTGGCTTATCACTTGTAGGCATGTAGTAGCACAAATATGACCGTAAGGTAAGGTTTCAGTAAAGGTAAATTTGCTTTGAAAGACACTGAAAGGGAGAATTTGTTGTCAGAGATACAGTTTGTTAAGTGGGAAATTTGATTTTTTACAATCGTAAGCTCAGTTTGTAATCATAATAATTACATAATATATGTAATCATAATAACGTTTGTAATAATAAATATTAAGTTGTATATTCATGTACAAAGTTGTTATGTAGTTGTTACTAAATCTACACGTATGAATTCTTTTACTATTAGTTTTCTTTTACCTTTAGTGTTACTTGGTTGTCAGCGATAAGGCTCGAGATGCAGCTGCTGTGCTGGTTTCAAAGTAAGTCTTTTTTGTGCTTCTTGGCAGAAAGGCAAAAAGCTAGCTCCCATTTCTCCTGCCATTTTTTTAGTCTGACGTGCTACTAATGACAGCATTGGAAGGACTGGAAGTTGCCAACTGTATGTGGGATGTTAAACTTGCTTGAATCAAATCCATTAGTGTGTTTATTACTTGAAATGCTGTGTTTTCTTCTGCTTACTAGAGGAACAGGTATTTACCACCAGTGATATGGACCTTCAGTGATAAAAGGATACTGATCAAATTGCCTTCTAGGGACTAGTTTATGTTACAGGGTTTCAGAAAGATACTGTTACTCTGTGTTGCTGCTGGTTTTTGCAGTGCATGGTAAATAGAGAACTGCTATTTAGTATTACTGGCTTGATGTGTCCTAGTAGTACTTAAGTTATGTAAACATAAATAGTAATGCTAGAATTTAGTTTCTTGATATCCCCCTTGTCACTTTCTTCATTCTCTCATCCAGAACAATGGATTCTGTTTTCTTCTGTCAAATAATTCATCAGATGAAACAGGTGTAGGATAATGGAACTTTCTAAATCCCATTGTAGAACATGTAAACCGTGTAAAACATGGTTGTTGTTCAGACACTGAACAATTTGTGACAGAGGTGCAGTTGTTCTGACGCTTTTTTCACCACTTCAGTAATACTGGTGCTAGAGTTGTTTATAAATTTGAAATAACGAACTTCTATATCTGTTCTTTCCTCGTCTAGTGCATTAGTGGAGATTGGTTTCATTTGTGATGCATATGCAAACCAATTACAAAGACCATAAACTGTGCTAGTACACACATATCTTTTTCCAGTATATATCACAGTACATATTGCAATATATTCTAGTGGAAGAGGGCTTTAGTCAGCTCATTTTGTCATTTGGTTTTTCTTTTCTTTTCTTTTCCTCTCTTAAGCAAGCAAAACCCCAGAATTTTTACACCAGCATATGCTCGCTCGCTCTCTCTCTACACTAGGGGGCTCTGCCAACATAGTTTTGCCAGCGTAGCTGTAGGAGCAGAGGCTCTGCAGGGTGAACAAGATGAAATGATGACAGCGGATGTGGATAGCTAGTCTGAACTATAAAATCTGTGTTACCGTTTTTCTCTGGATTAGGAGGCACTAAATTTGTGGGATTAATTGTATCAAAATAGTTGTTAAATACAACATTTAGTAGAGCACATCCTAACTGTCTTTTTGGGAAATAACTCTCCATGTACTTATTTTAAATTTATTCTGAACTTCAGTCACATGACTCAATGCTTTAGAAATTTGTATTTAGTGAGTATAATGCTACAGTTCTGAATCTGATGACAAAAAACCCCACTTCTCTGTTCTAGAACCGACAGTGTCAGGTGGAATATTCATGAAGGAGTTGAGATTAGAATTGTAGTTCTCTGGTGACTAGTCCTGAACTTTTCTGATTTACACTGAAATATTTCAGAGCAAAATTTAAGTGAATGCCTGAATCATTTGAATAGTCTTTAACAAATAATCTTGCCTGTTACATACTTATTTCCATGTGACAGAATGTAGGTTTGTTTTCTTATCCTAATTAGTTTTTGCAGTCATTTTGGAAGTGATAATGGGAATTTGCTTTTCTAGGATTTTTATATATCTGCATTGGTAATCTGCCTTGTCAGAAGTTGACAGAAGCAGAGGATTTGAGGTGAAAGTGTGACTTAGAGTGGATTATTCTTGAGCATTCATATGTGCCTGAATGTGCCATGTATATTTTTCACTTCCTAAAAACCCAGAAAAATACCCAAATCAAACAACTGTGATAGATGTTTGAAGGTACATCCAGTATTTGGAAGCCTTCTCCATCCTTACGACAGTAATTTTAAAAGATTCTTTCCTCACATTATACTAACTGAATTTGCACTTCATTTGCACTCCAGGGTATCTGTAAAACTAAATTACTAGTGGAAGCATATATAGTAATGGGATTGATTACAGCATTGCATTCAGCAAAACTTTGTCTTCATGCAGTGCCCAACCTTGGATTTCAGAGGGATTTCATAAGTACCTTATATCCTAATGCAGAGTGCTATGCAGGCATGTTATTAGCAGTTGCCTTATGTTGTCTTCACCTCCATTTTATTGGCTGAATTGATTTTTATTAAAAGTATATATTCATAACAAATAAGGTGATAGAGTACATTTAGCCGGTTCTAGTACCAGCTGCATCAAGGTGTGTAAGGCTGTAACGGGAGCAAAATTACTATTTAGTGTAGTTAAAATTATTTAGTTTATTATGAAAACACCATTTTCAAAATAGCCTAATGGTTAAAACACTTCATGAAGAATTAAAAGACCCAGATCCAAGACCTTTGGATCCACCAAGGCTTTGGTGCACTTGATTTCACTGCTTTCACATCCCAAAACAATTCTTTAATGAACAGGCATGTTTATTCTGAGCTGAGATCACTCTTTCATCTTCTTGGAGTTAGACTGTTAGGGGTAGGCAGGAAAACAGAAGTCCTAGGACAGACAGAGAGATAAGATACAGGAGTCTAACTCTGTAACAGGCTGAGTAGGAAACTCCTTGGGGACTCTGCTTTAAGGAGTTCATGAATTTAAAGTGAAGTTTAAAAATGTCAGGATCCAAGACTTCCTGTTTTCCAAAGTAATTTACTTTTCATAGGGCAAAGGAGCTGGAGGTTGTTTCATGAATTCTCTTTTCTGTCTGCTCAGTGACCTGGTGGCAGTAGGAGGAGATGAGGCTTATCCTTATCTTGCTTCTAGTCTGGAGGTTAAGGCACTCCTTTGAGAAATTAAGATTTAAACTCCTCTGGGCTGAGAAAGGGTCTAGGAACCAGTTCATCTGCTCTCTTACCTGTGCTATTGTGCAAAAGAAGGCTTTGTCCTTGCTGCTCTGTTATAAAACAAACCACCCCCCTCAACTAACCCCTCCCCCAAATCCTCACTGTTCTGTTGCTGAACACAATAGATACTGACCTTGAAGACAATTCAAGCGATCACATGGCTGCTCACTGTTTCCTGTGTTCTCTCTATTTAATATTCCCCGTTAGTTAGCTCTGGGTGCAGTTCACCATTTAATTTGTAGGTATATAAATTAACCAGATACAGGCTCTGTGTACATCCTTCTTTAAGCACTATGATTTGTACTTTGTGAGCTTTCCCATGAACCTTGTTTCCTTTGATTTAATTGAGAACAAATTTTTCTTTTTATTTAGTCTGAATCTCTGCTGGAACAGGACCCTAATTTTTAGGTGCTAAGAATACTAAATTAGATAACTGAAGCAGATGCCCTGACTGTAGCTTGGCTGGCACTGATGACGACTGAGTAGAGTTTTATGAAAGTAGTTTAACCGTGATGAACCTCTTTTGCCCCGTCTAAAATGGGTAAAAATGCATCTCTTGACCCATTTAGTGGGTTAAATAACAGGTGTTTGACCTTTTCAAATATCTGAAAAAACAAATATAATGCTGATGATTATTCTTCATGGGCCTGGCTGATAAAAGTGCAGTATGGACCAATTGTTGGTTTGCACCAATTTTCAGATTTGCAGGATAGCTCTTCTTGGTGAGAATGGTGGAGAATCCTCATATTTGTTTCAGCTTTTCACTAATTCTAATGAAAGTAATTTTTATGTGGGACCTTTGGAAAGCTTGCTTTACAGTTAAGATGAGAAATCTTTAGAATCCAAGTTTATAGGTTGGTTTGAAGTGAAAGTGAAATTCTTGGTCAGAGCCTTGTACAGAAACAGAAAAGCCAAAGACATACGATGGTTTGGAGTGTTCCCACCCTCAGCAATTTAGGAAAGATAGCCACTGGAGAATTGTTTTTAGGAACCACAACCAGTTTGGATAGCAGGAAAAATTATTTTTCATTGTCAAAGTTAGTAACTGCAGTGTTTTTCTTTTTTTTTTTTTTTCTGTGACAGATTTATTGTCCGGCCTGATGTCAGGCAAAAAAGGATGGCAGATTTCCTGGACTGGACACTTTCAATGTTATCTGAATCTTCCTTCCAGACCATGGAGGGGACTGTTGTTATGAATGGCATGCTCCAGGCTCTGGTAAATACTGTTTCTCCTTTAGAAGAGAGATGATTGTATTTATGATTGTATGATACTGCTATGGTAGATCTTTAATAGCAAGTGCACAGAAAGGTTCGTGTTTATTAAAAAAGGGTAAGATAATATACAGCTAGAATTTCCTTCACAACAGTTTTGAAGATGTAACTTCCCATGTATCTATATTTTCTTTAAGTGTTCTGGTCATCACCAAATGAAAGTGAAGTTGCCAGTATAGATACTGATAAATAACTCTCAGAAATGCTTTTAAATATCTGATTGTGTATCAGAAGTCATTTCATAAGTCAGTTTGGGTTGTGGTTTTGTTTTTGGGGTTTTTTTTTTTGCTTTGAACAAAACCTTTGAAATAAATGAAAAAATTGGGACTGTATGATGAGGTTGAGCTTCTGATATAGTAGTGGTCTCTCTTAGGCTTTGCAGAACTGGTAACCAAAATGCAAGTGGTTCTTGAAAGTTGTATCCATTCTTTCATTGTTCTAAAATATTATTCTCAATAGTTTTAATAAGACATACTAAAGTTGTTAGTGTCCTTCAATAGTCTGAAAAAATGCAGTTTCCTGTGGTTTTGCTTCCTAACCTGACCAAGTTTTTTGCTTAATGCTCCTTACCTTGTGAAATAACAGTAATTTATGACTCAGAGCTGAATTCTTAGTTTGGGTTTTAAAAGTTGTATGCTACGCATGGGAAAAAATCTGTAATACCTGAATCACTAGTATATGATAGCACTCCCCTTGTACATTCTAAGAAGCTTTTTATAAAAGCTTTCTTGTAGTTTTATACCCTTAAAACTGTTGGTGTGCATTTTGAAATACTTCAATATCAATAACAGTTTTGGTATTAGTTCCAATTTTGATGTCCGAATATATTTGGGTGGAATGGTGGAGTTTGTGTGGGTGGAGTTGTTCCTTCTTGGTTTTGTTGTTGACCAAAGTCGAGGTAGTGCAAACAAAGTCAGATTACATGTGTCTTTGCACAGGTTTAAGGATTTGCTGGTGTTTGTATGAGTTTCTATAATTTGCATAAATTTGCAGCTCTCTCTAAATAATTGCTATGAGGACTTGTATGCAGTATGTTACTAAACATCAAAGCAAAGTTCTGGAACAAGTGTGTGGTGTGTGGGGTTTTTCTGTGGGGTGTGTTTTTTTTTTTTTTGTTTGGTTGGGTTTTTTTGTTTTGTTGTTTTTTTTTTTTCCTCCAGCAGCTCTTCCAAATCAGAAGATACAAGAAATGATCTATATTTAGAATAACTTAGGACTTGCTGCTTAAGCAGGAGGAAGCATTATTTGTATGCATTGCAGTATGTTTCAAAAAGCAGAATGATGTTTCATCATTTTATTGTCAGATCTGGAAAGGGAGACTGACTGTTTGCCATTCTAGGTGCATGATGAGACCTGTAGGATGTATAATACATTAGTGTTTTGTCATAATTCCTTTGAGTTTGGCTTTGGCTCTATCCACCTGTTCATTAGTGCATACTAAGCGAAACAGGTGAATACTTAACAAGTAGAATCGAAACTAGAATGTGATACAATACACCTGGAAGCAGAAGCCTGCCTTCTTGCATTTCTGTGAATTTTTCTTGCTCTGTGGGGTAGGAGAAAGTATTTATCAGGCCAGTTTTATTTGTGTCCTACAGCTCATAAGTCTTGTTCCAGTTGCTAGGTATGAGCAGCGTGAATTTTTAAAGCCTTTACTTGCATTCAGTCTTCAATTTTTAATTTCAGTTACTGCAATGGAAGCGTGAGTTACATCATTAGGGAATAAAGGTTTTCAGAATTATATGTATGCAGGTATGTGTGCACGCAGACATGCTTAAGTGGAGTCAGAAATACTTATTTCAAGAGTTTAGTATTAAGAATTTTTAACACACTTCTAACAATAGTATGTTGTTAAACCAAAAATATAAGAGGAAAATAAAAGCAGTGTTTAAGTAAACCTTTTCTCTTAATCATGCAAGATTCTAACAGTCTGTACAGAAGCATAATAAGTTATTGGTAAGTGTGTAAAGCAGAACACATCCTCATGAGGCACAACTAAAACTTGTGTCAACAAGCTTCAAAAATTCGTTGCCCTTGGATTCCTCCAGCAACTTCTTACTTCAGTAGTCAAACTGTAGTTTCCTGGGCATTTCTCTCTGAACAAGCAGGAGAAAAAAGACCATTTTTCAGTTTCCAGTCAGTACAGCAAAGCAGGTTTCGGGCATGTAACAGGTTTTGGGAATGTCACCCACCAAGGTGGGGATAAAAAGTCTTTCTCTCTCTTCATCGGATCGGTTTAGGGCTGCCCCTAACGGGTGAATTTCAGTTGGGTTATGATATTATGCTGCTTACGGTCTGCATTTAGGAAATAGCTTGTAGTGAGATTGGCTTGGCAAAACTGTTTTAAAAAGACATGCGAAACTCTTGCATTTCAATGAACTGAAACTGCAAGTTATGTACGCAGTGAGTAGTTCAACGTTGCTGCACTTTGATCTGCCTCTTCGTGGCCTTAAGTCTTGGTGATTAGGTATGCTACTGTTTAATCTAACTCAGCATTATGTGTAGAACATGTACTACTGTTTCATGATTCTTGTTGAAACACGCAGCCTGCATTACATATTTTAATTCCACCAATGCTTTTTTCTTTTTTTTTCTTTACACCTGTCGTCAGTAATATATCATTTCACAACAGGTGTGCACTAGCAGGAAACTTTGCTTACAGTATGTCAGATTTGTTTTTTAAAACTGCCCTCTTTTGTTGAAACTAACATTGCAATGTTGAATTAACTTAACTTTTGTGCTTGGATACCTTGTATATTTGAAGGATTATAAATGTTGGCTTAATAAGAAATTGCTACACTTTTTTATAACATTTGTTTACTTGAAGGAAACTTCTAACCTGTTTCAAGAATCTGCATTTTAAATTCTCTTGGTCTGGAGGTTTGCTTTTAAACCTGCCATTATATCAAACAGCTTTTTAGTTATTGCTGCAGGGTGTAGCACTCCCAGTTCTTGCGTGACAGAGATGTCATCATGTTGAGGTAGCCTTGGGCATTGAAACTTATTAAACCTTATTTGTTTTATAAGTGATTCAGTATACAAGTGTGAGTAATAATTAAAAAAAATAAAACGCCCTACACAGTGATCTGATGAAACTTGAGAGTCTTAAGAACAGGGCATTTCCCTGAGCTGTCTCTAATGCAAAAGTTATTTAGCAATAGCTACATGCTTATGTAAATTTTGCTCCAGGGAAGAAAGAACTCTCTAAGTCTATTCTTTCAGACCCAGAGGCACAAAAATAGAATATTTCCAAATAGAATGTTTCCCAAGTCTCTATATTTTTGGCATTCTCAAAGAATTAGCGATGCTAGGATTGTCTGTTGGCATTATTTTTTTAAAAAGGTGCTGTTGCTTAGTGGTTTGGTGATAAAGATATACAAAAAGCAGTGCTGATAGAAGGAGAAGAAAAAAAATTCTGCTGTCTGCAGATACCAAGGGCACTGACCCCTTTCTGGTCATACTGTATCTTCTCTCCTCCTGAATGGCACAGAGTACTCTAATGCGGCCTTGTCTGATACTTCTGAGGTTTTTTCCTTCTCACCAGAAGTACTGTGGTTAGTTCAAGGTTCAGAAGTTCTGTTATCATAAGACTCTTTCTTGTTAGAATATAGTACTGTCTCAAGCTGCTGTTTTTTTTATTTCCAAGTATTTAAAATCTGTGTTTTTGAGTAGTCTTGTTAAGATGGAAAGGAACCATTCTGTTAGCTCTCCATGTGTTAGTCTAAACTTTTCAGGCTTTCAACTCTTAAATAACTAAGACTTGATGAAAACTGAACTCCTTTTGCCACCCATTTAACTGGGCTCTGTGCTGAAGTTTGTCAGCTCAAGTACCATGTTGATGATCAATATCCTGACAAATGTGTGTGACATGCAGAAGGAGTACTACTTGTGTTGAAGACATAATAAGACTGAGGGCTTTAACTAATCTATTTTACCATTAGCAGCACATATAATTCATTAAATATTCTCTACTTTCAGGTGAACTTACTGTTCTGACAGCATGTCCTCCCTCACCTTGTTTACCTCCCCACATCTGGCCTGGAGGCAGCTGATTGCTTTCCCTGGACCTGGATGTTGTGTGACTACTAGGGGGTGCTCCAGAGTAATGAAAGATATCATTTTCTTCTCTTCCCATAGAGGCTGAAATTATCCTTCCAATCCTTAAGTTGGTTGGTTACAACCAGAGGGTAGATTCAGACTTGTGTCTCCTGCTCGGCAGGAAGATGTACTTGCTACCAAACAGTCAGGCCATCCTTAATGGTGATTTGTATAGCTTGGGGAACATGTCCTGGAGATGATCCTGGCTGATATATCTCATGAAGGTCGGGCCTAAAGTGGGTTATGCAGACAATTGGAAGGTGTGGTGTGTTTCTTCTGTGATTACTAAGAAACTAGGCTTTGTTTTCCTTGCACCATGCTATTTCTAAAGCAAAACCAGACTTGACAGTCGTCATTGCTTGCACACCACTGATTTTCTCTAATTTGTAGGTGGCTTAATTATTTATAAGAGAGGGAGTCACATACTTTTCAACAGTTCAACAGGTTGGGTAAGTTGGTGTATGCTGTATGTCCTCATTAAAGTGAAGAGACCATGGCGTAACCTTGATTGCCTGGATACTCCAATAGACAGGCTCCTTACTTTCAGTATTGTTAGTTGCTGACACTAAAATGTCTATGCAGGTGGCAAACCAAGCTTATTAATTATTTTGTTTGTATCAGATTTTTTGAAATGGTGTGCCTTGGATGTTTGTCTTCCTTCAAGGCAGGAAGTTTAAGCTGAATACTGTAATGCTGATTTGTCCTTTTTTCTATAGGTTCTTTTATATTTTCTGTTCATGCATCATGTACTTTTCTTTTTTATATAACCCCTGTAAGCTCCAGGTTTGCAGGATTTTTCTGAGACAGTAACTTTGCCTTACATGCATGACTGTTTGTAGCACATTAGATAGGAAAATACATTTCTTTTAATTTTTTTTTTTTTTTTCTTCTCCCTGAAGACCAGCATCAGTTAAAGTGCTCTTTTATTTACTCTGGAAAACATATCCACTAAGCTCAAAAGTTTGGGTGATTTGGGCTTGTGAATGCTTTGACTATTAAATAGGTAATGAAAACTTCTTTTCTTGACATTTCTACAATCAGAAAAAAAAACACAGACACTGGATTTCCTGCTGTGTTGAATATTTGAAGAGTAGCTCTCAACAGTTTGGCTATTACCTGTTTACCTCTATAAAAACTGTTTTTTTAAAATGGCTGTTAAACTTTTCTCCAGTACAGAGAAATACCCGATGTATCACTTGCTGAAACACCAGTGACCTGGTAGCAGGTTATATCAGACCTGCAGTGTATGTTAGTGGATGCAAACAGAATTTTCTTTCCTTTCAGAAATTTGTCATTTTCAGCTGTGTTTATTCCAAAATCAGTTGGTAACATATTTTATTGAACAAAAAATATGTAAATATTAAAGCCCATTCTTTTAAAGTTTACTTATTAATTTAAACACAGTAGTTATGGTGTTCTTTAGTTAATTTTTACTTCCCCTAAAAACTTGTATCGATAAAATAAAATCACAGAATCCGTAACTCAATTGATTTACAGCAGGTACTATGATGATTTTAACATCTGAAAGTATATTATAAATCCTTGCAGTATTTTGTTTGAGACTAGATGTTCTGTGTTGAATATTAGATGTGAAAATGGTTTATTATTTAAGTATGTAGTGAAACTGCTGTAGGGAAGCAATGTATGTTTCACTTTTTTGTTCAGAAAATAATAGAAATGGTTGTGAAATGGAATCTGTCAAGTTCACTGTTCTAAATTGATTCATAGGTATGTGAGGCTGTTTTCTGACTGTTTTTTTAGAAAAGCGTTAAAAAAAATTATTGTACAGTATTTGCAGAGTTTTCTCAATTCCTGCTTGTGTGTGGGTTAATTTCTTCCCACATCTTGCTCTAGAGGTACCTTCTAGTTACGTTTTTCCTGAGGAGTCAGAACTGAATTCAAAGTTGGCCTTAAGGATGTGAAAACTCATGGAGAAACTTGTAGAAAGATGCCAGAATTTAGGAACTACGTAAGACTGAACATGTGTAGATATTTCTTGAGGATTCTCTTCCACCTTTGCAGGAGTTCCTAGGCAATATGCTGAGAAGTGTGAGCGCAGACATCCAAATGCATTTGTCCAGGACCATTCCCAAGGCTATATTAAAAAGCTGTTTCTGTACCACTACATCAGGAATTATACTGTGTTTTGTTTTGTACTGATATGCTTCAGTATCATCCTAACAATTTAGGGGCAGCCTGTGTGTGCCTTCAAAACAGTATTTGCTCTTAACTGGGCTTTTACAGAAAAAGGAGAAGTAATTGTGAAGATAAGGCACTGCAGAAATGCTGCAGTATCTCCTAGCATCTGCTACAAACTTGCTAACCTTGTGAAGAAACCATCTAATAGGTTTTTAAAGCGGAACACAGGAACAAAGTGATGAAAAAATGAGCTTCTGCATGCTTCATCAAAGAGGTAGAAAATCTTAGAGGTGCTCTAGATTTGTTAATTACACCAAAGATTTGCAGATTTTCTGTTGTATTTTCTTGAGGCTTTATATTTATTTTTTCTGGATACTGGTATGGTATATTGATAAAAGCTATGCTATATTTATACCATTTGTGTTGGTAGTTATTTCTGTTAGCTGTTCCTCTGGGCCTGAAGTAGTTCTGTAGCATTACTGCTTTGTAAATGTAGTTTTTAAAGGATGCTTTACGATTGCATAGTTACTGGTGAAAGCATTAAAAATCTTAAAGAATTCAATATATATTATCAAATTCCCCTATATAGCTTATAGTAGAGCTGATCAGAAGTGCTAATTTAGGATCCTAAAGTGCAATTTGGTAGCAAAACAAAATAGAATGGGTACATAGCCTAAAGGTGTTTTTATTGCCTTTGTTGCTCTTAACCACACCTGCAGTACGGGAGGCATGTGTGTGTTTGGTATGTGTGAGAAAGTACATATTTTTAAGGTAAGTCTGTTCTTGTTTAACTCCTAGGCATATTTATTGAGGAAGACTTTTCTTCTGGTAAATGACAAAGCAAAGAAAAAGAAGTGACTGAACACAGTAGTTTTGATGCATACTAAATGAATTGAGGAAACTTTCAATGTGTAACGTGTTTTTGTCAGATGATAATAGTACATTTGTCTCGCTGTAGTGCTGGGGCTTAATCTTACTGGGACATTTAATTGTATATAAAATTATTTTGGAAGCTCTTTGCTTCTTTAAATCCTTTGGCGCAGGAATTAAAGTTCGCCTGTTGGAGGTATATTTGTAGCAGGCTTGCAGTCAGTGATTTCTGTAGCTGGTTTTGTTTAATTAAGTTCTCAAAAGCTGTTGGAGAAACAGAGTAAATACTCAGCAGTTTAGCCTGTACTGCATCCTGTCTGTCAGAGTGTAGTTGCTACTAATAATTAAGCTCGCTGACATGTGTCCACCTGTCCGGCTTCTTAGCAATGACCAAAGTGTTGATGTGTACTGTGTGCTGGATTGTCTAAATCATGAGCAAGGCTTGTTTGGTTTGGAGTCATTCAGTGTCAGGAATTCCCAAATGGGATATAGAGTTCCCTTAGTTCTTCTGCCTTTCTTCATGTTCTACAAATTCTGCTTCACTTTTTAGAGGTTCAAAGCAACATGAGCTGTTTGAGATAATAAGTGCTGTGGTTGCACCGACGTTGCACTCGTGTGACCAAGCACTGAGCTGGATGGTTCAGAGAGCTGAGCTGGCTGAAAACTAGTGCCTTTTTTTTTTTTACCCCCTTTTGCCCCCCCCCCCCCTTTTTTTTTTGTTCTTTCTTTTATTCTCTCTTGAGTGTTTTCTGGCTAACTCAGCTCACTGAGTTGGCTGCCTATGTGATTGTATGGATGGGAGGGGAGGCCTGGGCTACAGTATCCTTGACTTGCATTGACTTACAAAGAAGTAAAACTGCACCCCGAGACTCTCTTCCTTTTATGCTATTTAAATTAGTAAACACTACAGATTATTACAAGAACGTTAAAAAGTATGTTAGAACTACATGCTTGACATATTGTGCTTTAGAATCTCTACATTCTCATGTCTGTTTTCCCTATTTTAATTGTAGGCACAGTTATTTAAACATGGCAAAAGAGAAGATTGTTTACCGTACGGTAAGTTTGTAATATCCCGTTTTCTGTTTTTAAAGCCATTCCAATAAAAAAAGGAAAGAAAGATTAAACTGATAACAAGTGGTGCTGTAAAGAGTGAAATCAACAGGCAAGTTATAAGGCATGCAAAATGAGGGGAAAAAAGAAGAGATGACAAAGTGAGGGAGGAGCAGACACCACTGGGAAATGTTATGTTGCAACGGCTCATCAAAGAATTTGGCAGGTGATCACATTGGCCATTGCTATAATACAGGAGCTGAAGACAACATATAAACTATAAGATGTGGAAGATATTTTTAAAAATGCATTAGAACATAAACTGGTTTTATAAATATTACTGCTGAAAATTTTGCAGAAAAATCTTGGAGTTTTAACATAGCACAGGATTTTGGAAAACCCAAGTTTAAGGAACCTGCTTTATATAGGAACCAGCTGGAATCATGCAGTGATACTGTTGAAATGAGAGAAAGTTTTTAGTGAAAAGAGATTTAGTGAAAAGGATGCAATTAGGGATAGGCAGGTACCCGAAAGGAGAGCATAAAAGTTTCTGAACAGTGTAGCTGCATGTTGGAATTATAATTCATCTCATGGTGAATCCTGGAATGTGTTCAGAACTGACTGCAAAATAACTTGTTTGTTTTTTATTGATAGCAGTAAAGAGAGGTAAGGAAAGATAATGGCTAATTACAAAACACTACAAAAGACCTTGTCAGTTTTGTGGACCTTATCAAAGCACCAGAAATGTGGTTTGTGCTATTCATGGGAATCAAGCAATGATGTAAAACTTGCTTCAGAATGCTTATGATTTTACTTAATGGAATTATTTTGACTTCTGAGACGAAACTTCATACACCTAATGCTGGAAATAGTTTCATTCTCCCAGTTGCTCTCTGAGATGCAGATGCGTCTTTACAAAATGCCTGAGATATGGGTAAAGATGGAGATAAGATAGTGAAGACAAACAGAATGGAATGACTATGTGCTGTACAGCTGGTCAGGAACAAACAGCAAATAGTGAGGAATGTCATCGCATAGCAACAGCAGGCAGCACTGTGGAAGCTTAAAGAGTAATGAGACTGACAGATAAGCAGGATAGTAAACAGGCTAGATGAAATATATTATACACAAAATTATGTAATTTAAAAGATACAACTGCATAACAAAATAGTCATAATCGATACGAAAAGAAGGTATTTGGCTCACGACATTAACCCTGCTGGTAAAATTAAATGTTTTGGCCTGTGGCGTGTAGAAAGAATATTAAGTGGTTACGACTCTGGTAATAAGAGAAAAGTCAGGGGCATACCAATGAATAAATTTACAACAGAAAAGATGGAATGCTCGCAACTAAGAAACAAATATTCACACAGAAACTGGTGAGGATAAGAAAATGCGAGAGACAAAAAATACAAAAGATTTTTTAGAGACCACAGGTTATACAGGATCTGAGGATCAAATAGGAAAAAAATAAACAAATGTCAAAGGAAGATATTTGCAATATAGGACTTGATTTAAAAGTAAGCACTAGTCCTGCGGCCATTTGCATGGGTCTATAGATATTTTAGTGATTCAAGAGTTGGCAGGACTTGGAAGAGGCTTATGTTTATGTATTCTTAATTTTTTCTCTATCTTTGAGTATTGATGTTTCTGCAGTTTTGTTCTCCTAAACCATTAGTCTCTCTAGTTTTTACAACTGCAAAAAAAATCCAGGTTGCTGGAAGGTATCGAAGTAATAGTCATTACTGGCTTTACCTTTTAGTCTTCATGTATTATTTTATTAATATTTTAGTACATCAGGATAAATCATAAGCCGTTTTAAAAACGGTGAAGATTTTTTTCAAGTCACATGTCCTTCAGTTTCTCAGACTTTGAAACAGTTGTTTTATCTTTGATCTCTTAGTATTTTGAAAACCCCGATATGAGGCTGGAGTAAGATGTTGCAGAATATTTTGCCAATATGAGTCCATGTTTGCAGTGCTTATGGCAAGAATGATAGGTCCTTCAGAGCCCAAGCTGTTAGTCTCTGTTAACTGAAGATCAGCCTTGGAAACAATCGTTAATTGTTTCAGGCTGAAAATGCAAAAGGACTGTTTTATTTGTAGCAGGAAGTTGTTCCTTGTGAAAATTTTGAATCCTGGAACTTTATACTCATTAATCCAAGAGTCTCCTTTCGTCTATGTTTTTTTTACTTTGCTGGACAAATAACTTTGTTACCTTTGATGTGCACAAATGAAAGGTTTTGTTGCTGACTGTTTACACGTACATAGTATTTCTCATGTCTAAATGTTTATGGACATTCATTGTCATAAAAATTTCTGTGCCAGAGGAGTTAAGTTGGTGCTGCCTGAAAATAATAAATGAGGAAAGGTAATGCTTTCTTAGTATGCAGAAACTGGCTGCAGAGTAAATAAATTACATTTTCTGACTCCTGGTTCTGTTAGACTACTGAAAATCCTTAGACCCCGAAAGGTACTTGCATGTGTTACTTCCAGTGAGAATTAGAGGCATAAATACTTCTGGAGTCTAGATTCATGATAATTTTCATAGTCAAAAGTACTCCTTAAAGCAATCCTTCCTGTTTGGTAGGTGAAGGATATTAGCACTATTTGACCAGTGTCAAAGCTACTACAAAGTAGGTAATAAGGCATTTGCATTTCAGTAATACCTTTAAAAATCTAAATCTTGTCAAGAACTTTCAAAACTTTACAAAATTTTCATGCTGAGATTTTTTTAAAAACAGTTTTTCTTGCATGTTTATTTTCTTTTACAGCTGCTACTGTACTTGAGTGTCTTGATAACTGCAAGCTGTCAGAAAGTAATCAGATGGTTCTTCGCAAGCTAGGGATGAAACTTGTTCAACGACTTGGACTGACATTTGTGAAACCGAAGGTAGCAAAATGGAGGTTAGTTTAAAGCTCGAACAGTTTTAAAAAAAAAAAAAAAATCCAAAAGCACTCAAAAACCTTAAAAATACCTGAATTCATACCTTTGACCACTGGTTTTCTGTCCTCCTATCCTTCTCTCCCCTAAAAGATAAAGAAAGAAATCCCCATGTTACTTGTGAATGAACACATTCTTCATTTGCACTGTTTGGAAGAAGTAGATTTCTTCTGCTGTATTTAGTTTCCTGTAATTTCTTTCAATTTTGGTATAGTACAACTAGTGCTGTGACACGCCAAATCTTTTGACTTTTCAAGTTGTACATTACACAAGCAGAAGCCTGTTCCTATATAATGCATAACTTGGTAAAGATGGGAAGACAGTGACCTTTGTTACTGAAGTTGATTTAGTACAATTTTGTAAGAGTGAACATAACTTTTTCCATTACATAATTCTACCCTGATTTGATAGAAAGTTCACAGGGGAAAAGTGGTTTGCAATCCCACTTTCGTTTTGCATATTAGTCAGGTTTTGGTGTCTGGTTTTACCTGTTGCCAGAGGGCAAACTCTTTTCTAGATTTCTCGCACTGATATTTTAAAATTGCAGGCTCCCTTGGTGACTATTTTTATTGTATTTCTTCTACCAACTTTTGAGAACGTCCTTAGGCATAGAAAATTCTTTTTAGGTGGAGCGTGTACCTTGCCCAATGGCAAAAGTCAGTTTAGCATGTAAAATATCTTTTGTAAGAATGTATCTATACCACAGGCTAAATATCTGAGTACAGCTTGGGCAGAAAGTACTGAGCTAGTTTTAACTTTAAAAAAACCCAACTTTTAATAAGTTGATTTTATTAATTTTTTTTTTTTTAAGTTTTGGAGAGGTTTTTAGGGCATGGGAATTTTGCCTCACTTTATTTTCAGCAGTGGAAAGTAGGTTATACTGAAACAGGAAAGGGAGAGATAATGAAAAGGAACCATTTAAATAGTCTAGCTCTTCTCACCTTGGAAAAGAGACAAGTGGGTCAAGAGGAAGGAGCATGGGATACTTTTCCCTTTCCTTTAAAACAACCACCAAATAAGTGGAGAGCTGTTACACTGGGAGGTGTAGTAACTTGACAAGCAGGCTTTATGACAGTATGCACCTATTTCAGTTGGAACTTAAATCAGAAAAATACATTAACTGTGTCTGTTTCTTGTGCAGATACCAGCGTGGTTGTCGATCTCTGGCTGCCAATCTGCAAGCACAGGGTTCAGTTGTGCAGAATCAGATGATAACAGTTGCTGCTAATGAAGCTGACGATGAAGAGGAATATGACATTCCAGGAGAGATTGAAAATGTTGTAGGTGTGTTAAAACTGAACAAAAATTATTGTAAGGCCTGCAAATTAAACATATATTGGAAAGTAACCTACTTAGTGCTAAGCAAGCCATGTGGGTGTTTGTGCTAATGTGCATAATTGAAAAGGCTATAAAATTTCAATCTATGCTACTGATGAAAATATACTGTATTTTTGTCAAATTATTTGGATTTCAGCATCTCAAGCAGAAACTCAATACTGTAACATTTGTTGTGAGACTGGGGGATGGAGTTATTGAAATACATTCTAGCAATTTTTTCCAGTAATATGAAAGAGATATCTTGAATCTTTCACAGATGGAAGGATGAATTAAAATTCATATTGAAAAATAAACCAAAAAATTGTGTTGAATGAAAGCTAAGGAGTTATGGTTGAAACTTTTAAGCTGTGGTAGTATCAAAGGAGCCACATTTTTTTTAACAGTATGCAGTCATGCAGCAGGTCCTCTGCTAGCTTGCTGGTGGATATGCTGTGAATTGGCAAAAACTGCATCAGAAGACTTCTATAACTGATTAATGTAATGAACCACTGAAAAAAGCACCATGGCCTCCATTTTGAATCTTCTACAGTACTTAAAATTTCAAACCAAATTTTCTCTTTTAGAAAACGATATTGTCATCTTTCTTGTTTCTTTGATTTCAAGTCATGCTTGTGTGACATATAGAAGAATCTGGATACAAATATTTTTATTTAAACTAGGGGGCAGTTATGTTAAGAGGAAAATGAGTTTTGAACATTTTAAGAAAACTTTCTGTTCTTAAATGAGAATAATCTGTTTTGTTTAAATAAAATTATCTGCAGAGCAATTGTTGGTTGGACTGAAAGACAAAGACACTATTGTCAGGTGGTCTGCAGCAAAAGGGTAGGTTTTTTATGGTTACTCTCAAATAATAAATTAAAGCAAGCAACATAGAAATACAGTCTGATGTAATCCATGATTGCTAATTTGTGTGTATTGTCAATATTCACAGTTACTTCAAATGGCTTTAGCACAGCTCATGGTATAAAGCCATGTTTGTGTCTTGTTCTGGGTGCGTATGAAATTGGGCTAGTCTTCAGCAAAATTTCAGATGGGTTTGGAAATAAACATTCTGGATAAAACTTGACTTGAAGGCTATAAAGTAGCATGTCTTCAAAATGTGTTTTTTTCTTCCACTTTAAAAAAATGTATTTCTGTGTTAAGTTTGTTACTGTGTAGCTTTTGCTTCAAGTTTTTGCTTTTTTTGTTTTAGGGTAGTACATTGTCTTTTTGAAGTCAGTCATCTTATTGTAAATTTCCAGTAACTGAATTTTTTATTGGACTTACTCATCAAATGCAGTACTAATGAATCACTCTGTGCCTTTTTTTCCCACCACTTCTATAGAATTGGTAGAATAACTGGAAGACTTCCAAAAGAATTAGCTGATGACGTGATTGGGTCTCTGTTGGACTGTTTTAGGTAAAAATCTTATTTCATATTTTACATGCATCTGAAAACATGTCTGCTTGTGAAGCAAGAGGACAACAGTTAGGAAGACAGATGTAAAAATCTGTAAAATTTGTTGCCCTTCTCCCACATTTCAAAATCTTCTAAAGCATGAATGTGCTAAATAAAGAAATTATTCCTAATGCTTCATCTTGACCCCATTCTAAAGCGATGTGGAAGGACTGACGTTGAACTTTGGAAAAATAAAGATAAAAAATTACTAACTTGCTGCTTTAAAAATTTCTGGTGTGCTCATGCCTTCAGTGTTGTGTGCATCTTCAGAAACATAGTAGAATTGGAAATTAAGGGTTCTGAGGATCGCCAGAGATAAGCAATCTCTATGTGAGGGGAGGTTAAAGCATCTAGGAAGAGTGAGGAACAAATGGAGTATAATAGAGGTTTATGAAATCATGAATGGCATGGAATGATTGCCCTCTAGATTTTATACTATTAGAAGCAAAGTAAAGTAGCAGGTGGCAGGTTTGAAATACAGAAAAGGTGGTGGTTATTCACACAGCATATAGTTAAACGGTAAAAACTTCTTGCTGCAGGATGTTGTTTGCCTGAACAAAAAAACATTTTTCTTTTCTGCAGACTTGTCCACAATCTGCCAGAGTTTGGAAGCGTTTTGGAGAATGTTGCAGTATCTTTATCCTATACCAAAGGAATGTACTCTTAGCTGTGTGAGAGAGAGGCTTTTGGGCTAGCTGAAAGTTTGGTTTCATCGCATATAGTTGCTAGGATGTTCTTTTGATGAGCTTTATTGCTCGATGTCTTGTTCCTGCATCCAGTCCTTTCTGCATGAAAGAACTAAATTACTAAACAAGTATTGTATGCTTTGTTTAATATCAAGTTGCTCATCAGGTCTACGTTGAGTACTTGAGCTTTAAGATCTAAACTAGTGCTTTAGACTAAGCTAATAACAAAAAGAATAATTTCTTTATTGGCAAAAAATATTGGTAATTTTCAGTTTGCCACTCAGATGTACTCAGTTTTAAAAAAATTTCTCATATTGGTTGTGAGTACAAATTAAAAGTATCAGCTCAAAGTATAACATGTCAAAAAAGGAAAATATAATGTCTTAAAAACTTGCAAGGAAAGTACTTAGCCGATACTTCCACTGCATTACAGTGATTAATTTAAGAGGTGCTGCTGATCTCAATTATCCCTGGAGCTTCAAAGGCCTGTACTCACTGTGTTTTCTTTCCTTGTTTTTCAAGTCATAGGGATGAGTAATCCAACTAGTAATTGAGTGACCTGCTTTCTTCAGAAACACCTGGGAACAAATGTAGACAAGGACAAAGGGAATCTCTTCTGTATTCTCTGCAGTAAATATCTAGCGACCAAAATAAAAATCAAGTCACTTGCTCACCAGAGGCACTTTAAGTTATATCTCTTGGATAAGAGAAAGGATTTCTTATATGTAGATAGATTAAAAGACTAGAGGCAGGGAAGAAATAAATGATCATTTTTCACAGGGTGGTGAGATTAGCAGCACAGTCCCGCAGGGGTCTGCATGAGCCTTGTGCTGTTCAAGATACTCTTAAAGGATCCTGGAAAAAAGGGAAGCAATAGGGTGAGCAAGTAAGTTGGTGATTTGAAGTTAGCTGATGTAGTGAAAACTAAAGGTGACAGAAAAGAAAATATTATAGAAGCCTAAGTAGAGTAACTAGACAGTAAATGACATACAAAATACAATGTCTAATGAATACAAACTAATGCACTGAGGGAGCAATGCAGCTATCTGTAAAACAGTTATTATTACTCAGGAAAGGGATGTCAAAATGTCAGCGGAGTACTCAGCAACTGTCAGAAAAAAGAAGGCAAATGGAACGTTAGTAATTGTTAGGAAAGGAACAGATAGCAAAACTGAATTGCTGAAAAGTGATTTAACTGATGGGAATTCTTCCAAGTGGAAAGAAGTGGAGGGGTATAATGAAGATACCATAAATATGAAATAAAAAGGGAAAGCGGGTAATTGTTTACTATTTACTCTTTCTCATAATGTGAGAACTGGGAAGCATCAGGAAGTACATTTTCACGCAATTATAATTAAACTGTAGAAGTCATTGCCACAGGATGTTATGGAAGCTAAAAGTGTAAAGGGAGTTCAGAAAAGGATTATGCAAATTAATAGAATAGAGTCCCCTCAGAGGTTATTAAATACGACATTCTGGCTGCAACCTCTGGCTTGGGAAGTCACCGTACTGCTGATTGACAAAGCTAGGAGAGGGCTAATAAGTGAATGATCCTTTATGCTTCGTCTTTGGCGAAGCATCTGCTATTGGTCCCTGTCAGAGACAGGATACTGGGCAGAGACAAAGCTTTGTGTGTCTGTTCAATGTTTTATTCTTAGATTCGTGTTCCTAGTTTAATACAAAATGAACTTTTTGCATGTTTCGTCATGCAGCACGCAGCTGTTCCCCTTTTCACTCCTTCATCTGCCAGCCCACCAAAAATTGTGTACCGTTTTTTGCTGTGTTCAGTACAAGTTGCTGTGTTTTAAGGGTTTTTTTTAAAGGTGGATAAACACCACTGTTTACTGCATAAGCTCATGTAATGTGTTTATTTGGAAACTATCACTTGAACCTCTTTTGCTAGTTAAGGACTGTGTTTGGCACTAAATTCATTCGTTCGTTTGGTTATGTTTTGTAAATCTGCATCTTTTGCTAGTGTACTAGAAAGTTGTTTTCCTCTTGTGGATGAGTTTCAGGTACTGTATTCTTCTTTATTGAGGTTATAGTTACATTGATAAATGGATTTTTTGCTTATCTAATAATGTTTATAGCAGTACTTATGTTGCACAAAATGGGAAAGAAAACATGTTCAACTCATTGCTGTTATATTTTAGAAGTCTAACAGGATTAATAACACAATAAACACATGCTGGTTTGGATTATGTGTTTTTTAAAATGTTAGGAATTCACCATGAAAAATGAAATCTGAAAAGGGAAGGCTAGTCTTAAGAAAACTTGTCTTTGTTCTAAAATTAGTTTCCAGGAAACAGACAATGCGTGGCATGGTGGATGCCTGGCTCTGGCTGAATTAGGCAGAAGAGGATTGTTACTCCCTTCCCGAATTTCAGATGGTGAGTTGTAGTTGCTGAATATTAGTAAGTTCATGAATTAACAATTTATAGTATTAGAGATTGAATGTGTGGCAATAGACTGGAATTTGCTGATGTGAGTGTGCTGAATAATGACTGTAGTGTTGAATTCTCGAGTAAAAAATACACCTGTGGGGATATTTAAGGTACTTCTGTCAAAAGCATTGTCTTGGGTGTGCCTTTTTTATACTTAATCAATTTTTCCTTCCAAAATAAAATTAGGTTCTTGGGGTTTTCTTCTTTCTTCCTCCCTCCCATGTTTCTTTGTACAGTTGCATAAAAATAGTTCTGTATGTCTCTATATTGTGTCAGTGTCTTTATTTAAATAGAATATATTAAATAATTGATGACTAACTTGCACTTTAAAGTTAGTAGCTTATGCTGTTTGTTTCTGATTAAATTTCAGAGGCCAATTTCGTGGAATTTATACAATGAACTGCTTAAGTTTTTAATGGGTTTTTGAAATATCAGGATGGAAAAAAGTAACAGGGCAGAGGAATTATTTCTTTGTGTGTTCTGTATATATCAACATACATGGAAGTACAGAGATATTAATGTGAAAGTAGTAGTTCTCTGTTTTGTGATTTTGCTCGATTTTTTTGATAGAGTTGAAATGACAAAAGCATAATGGAGTAGTACATGGCCACTATTAGGCACTTTTACAGCACTGTCTTGGGCTAGATGGTTCTTTTGTTCTCATTTGGCACTCCTGTGTTGAACAAAAGTTGAAACTGGTGTTTCATACCAGTACATTAGGTTGGCGGATATTTTCTATTCTGAAGATCTGTTGACTTGTTCTAGAAGAAACTGTAAAATACGGTATTTAATATGGTTTATTATTCTGTCTCCATGAAAAGAGTTCATGACCAATATAGTGTCTGTTTTGCGTGTGGGAATTTTTGCAGCTAGCCTTTGGTTGGTTTCCCTTTTCTAATTACTTTTGCCCTTGTATGATAAAGAAGAAACAGTTAAAAAAATCCCCAACTTTAAGAATGGGAAGTCATCCAAAGGTAAGCCTCTATTTTAGTTCTAACAAAACTGAAACTGTATACCTCTATCCAGGAATCAGGATAGCCTCGTGTAATAGATTATTATTTTTGTTAATTTAAACTGGAACTTTCATGCAAGTTTGATATTGTATAGGAGTGCAAAAGATATGAGTAAATCCCAGTCCTGTCAGTGTTTTGACCTGTACTGTGAAACTATCTCTCTTCACTTTTTAGGTTGAGTTTTTGTATATCTAGTAGAATGGGGATGACAGTTGTATCCTTCACACCCTTCTTTTTCTGCAGAAGTGCAATGAAAATACATTGCTGCCCGTGAAGGTGATTTTAATGTACACTGGTTTATACGTAAATTTTTAATCTGTCAGATTGCATAAGATCTAGCCTTCTATTACTGGGGTGGAAGAATATAAAGCTAAGATAGGGGAGGAAGGGAAGGAGTGAACATAATCATGGCAGCAAGGTCTTTCTGGGAAAGAAATAGGCATAAAGGCCCAAGGAAAAATGATTTTATAGGAATTTGAAGTTTCTTAATAAAACAGTGCTAAGAATTCCAACAGTTGCTATATAAGAAGATGGGTAAGAAACGTCATCAGAAGCTATCTTGACTGAACTGCAACCTCTGGTTATCTGATACTCAAGAGTGAGTTATACAGAAGGCAGAAATGTATGATATTGTGAAGGATGATTACAAAAGGATAGTCTGAATTTGTAGGGATAGAATTTGGAAAGACTTGGACATAAAATGGGATGCAGCTAGTGAAAAATATAACTGGTAATGACCGATCATGTTATATCTTCATCAGAGTCAAACCTTTATTATTGCTGAGCAGATCTAGGCTGCAGAATAGCCATGGCAGACTTGACATTGTCCCTTCTCAATTTTTTTTTTCTTTTGCTTTAGCAGACCTTGTTTTCCATTTAAATTATTTTGAAAAACTAGTTATACTAAACACAGTATATCCTAGTTTAATTTGCAAGTCTGCCTAATTCAGTACTGCTTTTATGTAGGTTATCCAGTCCACTATTACTGTAGAAATTCCAAGTCGATTATTATAATTTGGAGAAGGACAAAGGAGTGAATTCTGGAAGTTGGAAGAAGAGCTAACACAGTGATGTTAAGAGGAACTGTGTTGTACTTTGACAGACTTATGTTCCAAATGTCCTCAACAGAATTATTTAAGAAATTAGGACAAGTGCAAAGTAGTATTCCTAGTTAGGAATAAGTAACTACACAATTCAAGATCTAGGGAGTCACTTCTAAGCAGCAGTTATACAGGAAAGGACTTAAGAGTTCATGTGGATCACCCACATCAATCAACAATTTTATTTATCTCAGTAGAACAAGATGGGAGTGGGGAGAAAAAAAGTCATAAACAGAATAAACAAAGTGTGGTAATCCTTCCATCTCACTTAAGACTAAAATTATGACACATAGAATATTCATCTTAGGACATCACACTTGAAAGATTATTTAAAGAAAGCTAGCCTAAAGCAGCAGGAAAAAAAAAGAAAATAAGACTGACAGGGAAAGACTGAAGGAACTAAGGTTATTTGGTTGAGAAAAAACAAAGCTGAAGGCTTATTCTCTTCCTCTTAAAAGAAAACCTTTACTGTTGACAACTATTTTCGGTGACCAGAACAAAACTACAGATAATCGGTATAATTTGCAGTGAGAGAATAGTTAGGTAAGCATTAGGACTGATTTTCATATTCTAGAGGAACTGGAGCCCTAGAATAATTTGCTTATGGACATTGATTTAGAAAGATTTCTGCTAAGAAGGACAGAAATCAAGTTAAGGTATGGAGAGCTGTTTGAGTAGTTAATCTTCACGGTTCCTTTCAGCCAAGTTTTTATTTAATTTGAGGAATGGAGATGAGGTAGACTTTACCACTGCAGATTGTTTTTATGAACAGTATTTGTGTAGAGCTGGTGAAGAGTTAATTGGACTTTCTCTGTTACCGTAGTCCCTTTGTTCAAATTCAGATTGATATTCTTGTCTTTTGATAATTTAGGAAAAGCTTTTCTCTATTAAAGATTAAAGATCAACATTGTCACTAATTTTTCGTTTCTTAGCTCAGAAGTGTAACCTCTGTAATTTACTGTTTAATGGTAAACTTCTTACAATGCTGTGGCTAAGCTGTTAGCTCAAAACACCATAGTACAAAAGATTAGAAAAAAAAAATTATGGGAACCCTACCTTGCATTGAACGCAACTCTGCTTCCTTACACAGGTTTATACCTTCTAGTAATGTTTAGGCAGGTGAGGATGTCCCTTATCTGAGTAATGACTCAATGAGAAATGCGTACCCATAGTTCTAAATGAATAATAGTCTGTGTTTGTTTTACTTAGACTGATGGTGCACACTGGGCAAATTTACACGAGGTGTTTATAGAATGGAAGAGCCTTATTTTAGTGAAAATCTTTGTAGAAGATTGAATAAGCAGGACAGCAACTTTAAGGCAGAGGGAATTCTGAGCTTTGTCATATGGATGAATTAATCTGCATAATGAAATTCCTTCACTGAAGGAAGCTCCTTTTTTAGGGTTGATTGGTATTCCATGGCAAATTCTACTTGTTTGGCATGGAATTTGCTGATTTTTTTATCTAGTTTTTACTAAATTTTTTTCAAAATACGTGTTACAGATAGTGTATTGAATGTATTTGTGTTCATTAATGACTTTCGATATATTTTAAGTACAGGTCACAGATTTATTTGAAAAATTGCAAGTTTATATACACAGTTATAGAAGCAGAAAATAGTTTTAGGATGGATGTAGAAGCATAATGAAACTGATAATTAGTGATACATGTATGCTGAAATAAGACCTTTACCAGGAGAGTTTGCCTCAGGTGAAATAAATTATATAAATAAACTTTTAGGCTTGGAGTTTCAAGGTTGCCCAGTGTCTGTCTAACCTCAGAGGATTAAATTGGTGAGATCTTCAGATTTTCAGTATTGTTTTCATAGTGGTTCAGCTAAAGGTGAAGATAAACTGCATTTGTTAAATTGGTGCAGGCTTTCTTTCGTTTAATTTGAATCTTGTTCTTAGTCAACGTAAGAAAAGCTTGCTTATACAAGGTTTGGATCAGTTTGTTTAAACTGGCGAGTTACAAAATTTGGTCTGTTGTTTTGTGTTACGGCATAACAACAAAGTGCATTCATACACGAAGCAGTTTTTACAGTAAATTCTAAGTAGACAGGTTTAATCTTAAGCTTATTTAAACTACTGCACAGTGAAATAAAAAGTCTTTCAAAGAAAAAAAAGAAAAAAACCCTATTAAATGAAATTAAGCCTGAAAAACACTATGACAGTATGTTATTGAACAAGATTGTTTCTAGAACTTAAACATCTTTTAAGAAAAGAAGTTGTAAAAGTTATTTTACATTAATACAATTGCAAAAAACCTTAAAGATTCTTCTAATGTACTTTGGCTTTAGTAATGAATGCAAAAATTCACTCATCAAAATCTGAGCTTATACAAGGTAAAGTTCAGTTCCTTAAAAATATTAATATAAAATTATGAACATTATTTACATGGGAGAGATGGAATGTATCCTCTCATGGACAAAACCCAATAAGAGATGGTTTGTAGAAATTTTATGATGTTGCTGATAACTAGCTTCCATGACCAGAAACTCATGGGAAAGTGAAGTATTAAGATACTCTTGTTCTCTTCCTTAGAGTGAAGACTCTGCTACAGTCATTTGGCCTTACTCTTTTAGTGCCTTGCTGTGATTTTGCTGATTCTTTTTGATTTGTCCTTTTTTGTCCTTTTACTTTTTGATTGCACTGAGTATCCTGAGTATCAGAAGAGTTAAGAGTAGCTTCTGTACATGAAGCATTACTGTCCTGAGGACTCTGCCCTTCGTTGTCCATTCTAACTTTGCTTGGGCTGTATGCAGCTAGCTGACAGAGAGCTACAGCTGCTGTTTGTTTCTGTTCATCACAGCTGTCAATTATTCTTAAGTCTT